TCCTCTGCAGTTGTCCTCCTGTCCTCTGCAGTTGTCCTCCTGTCCTCTGCAGTTGTCCTCCTGTCCTCTGCAGGTGTCTTTCTGTCTCTTCTTTAATGTACGTGTCGCCGTCTGTTTTCTGATGACCATTAGTTCTCATGACTCTCATCTAACACCAGCACACCCCCTGTTCATTAGAGCTGGTTTCAGCAGAGAGACATGACGGTTGGACAGGGAGACATGACTGTTGGACAGGGAGACATGACTGTTGGACAGGGAGACATGACGGTTGGACAGGGAGACATGACTGTTGGACAGGGAGACATGACTGTTGGACACTGAGATATTTCTTTTGGACACTGAGACATGACTGTTGGACAGGGAGACATGATGTCCTGACCTCACAGAACTTTACAAGACCTCCCAGGACCTCCCAGGACCACACAGGACCACACAAACTGAAGCCTGAAGTTCCTTTTGTTTTTTGGTTCAAACCAGCTTAGAACTGGGTCCCAGTTTGGGGTTCTGGTTAAGGAAGGGTTCTATGTTTTGTTTGAACAGGTTATGGACAGTGTCAGATAAACRTGTCCAGCTGTCAATATCCTCAGTGACCTGTCTCTTTTTGTGTCCTCAGTGACCTCCTGGAGGATTTGGAGCGAAGTCCTGATGCTGCGTCCATCGCAGAGTGTTTTGTGGAGAGGGTGAGTTCAGAACCAAAAATCAAGGAGTGAAAAGACAAACTGGAGGACATTTAAAACCTAATGAACCCAGGTCTAAAACCCCAAAAGGACCCTGATCCTAAAAACACAAAAAGACCCGAAGCCAGCCTTCAGACTCAAACCAAGCTGGAGGACTGGAACTCAGGACCAGTCTTTGAAAGGGTTGAAATGATAAGAATAAAAGGAGTTTCTTTAGTGTCAGTTGGTACAGACATTTATCTATGGACTGGTCCTGGTACCATACGTCTCTCCACATTGCGTTGGACTAGTTTTGGTACCATATGTCTCTCCATGGTGCATTGGACTAGTTTTGGTACCATATGTCTCTCCACATTGCATTGAACTGGTCCTGGTACCAAATGTCTCTCCACGGTGCATTGGACTGGTCTTGGTACTATATGTCTCTCCATGAAGCTTTAGACTAGCCCTGGTACCAAATGTTTGAGTCCCACCAGGGTTTAGCTGCTAGGATTTCTTTGGCTCTCTGACTCCCTCTCCTGTTGAGAAAAGGTAACAGCTGTGTGACTAAAAGTTTATGGTTCTGTTAGAATCCTCCTGCAGAATCAGCTGGTATTTATTTAAAAACTAAATGGTGTCATGTTTTTACACCCAGAGGCTGGATTCTGTTTCTGAAGGTAAACCAGATCAGAAACATACATTTATAGAACCCACAGCAGCTGCAGGTTCAGATCCTGCAACCTGGGAGTTCTTTAGTGTCTACTGCTTTGGTCAAGGACCTGAGTCTTCAGTCTCAGGTCCTAAAAGTTCCTGCAGGTCATGCAGGGAATCAGTGACCTTCTGGTTCAAGACAAAAACTAAAAACAGGAATGAGTCATCACATAAACTCATCAGGTTGGTTCTGATTCAGACCCATGTGTGTCAGACTCAGACTCTAAGACCTTCTGATTGGTTGACTGTCTGTAGAAAAAACTAAACAAATTAATGCTTTGGTTTGTTTCCACACCTGAAACAAGGGATTGACAAGAAGTTTGAAGTTAAACAGAAACTGGACAGCTCCTTTCTATCCAACCAAGACCCTCAAAGCTCTTTACACTACAGTCTATCTCCTGTTTACCCATCCACACACAGCCTAACCCTGACCCCTGACCCTAACCTCACAGGTACCKGACTCCAAACTCAATTCACATGTTAGTCCTAAAGCGAACTCCTGACTCACCAACAGTATTGTCCCAATGAGGGCCAGGCTTTTGTCCCCATAAGGGACATCAGCAGGCTGTGTGTACCAGGAAAACACACACACACACACACACACACACACACACACACACACACACACACACACACACACAACTGTTTCAGTGAGAACAACAGTCCACATGATGACAGTACTGGTATTTCCCTGTAAAGTTGATGTGGACCAGTGAGTGTACAGAGACCAGTCAGTGCTTCACCTCACACTCGTACACTGATGGGACACACAGCACAGGCAGAGGGGATTCAGTGTCTTGCCCAGGGACACTTGGACATGTGACAAAATAGTGGTGGAATCAAACTGCCAACCCTGTCATTGGATAAAGGCTGCTCAAACCGTTCACCACAGCCACTCTACMTGAACCCAAACAAACAAGTCTCACTCAGAACCATTCCAACAGAACAACGTTTAAAGTCCAGTCCTTTGTTTTTCAGAGTGAAGCCTTCGACATCTACACGCTGTACTGCATGAACTACCCAAAGTGAGTAAAAGTATACGTTTAATCTACCCAATACATGGACAAATACTCATTTACTGTAAACTACCCAAAGTGAGTACGAATACACATTTAACCATGGGCCTCCTGAGTGTAGCTCTGGGACAACTTAGATACGTCACAAACCAGATTTGATTTGATTTTTATCACAAGCAACTCCTCAAACTGAAAAYTAATCTGCAAACTTGTTGAGAAATAAATAAATTACTGTTCATAAATGTATTTTTAACAGTTTTTAAACGTATTTCTTTTATTTCAGTGTGTGCTGTGTACTATTTTGTTAACGTTTTTACTATTTTTCAACATCTTTAGATTTTGTTCCTGCTTTTTTCCAGTTTTGGCTTCAAAGAATTGTTTTCACATCAAAAAGGATCAGTCAGCCAATCATGATGCAGGATACAGAGTCAGGGATCAGCCGTCATCCATCATCTGTCCATCAAATAAACAAATCTATCATCTGTCCATCAAATAAACAAATCTATCATCTGTCCATCAAATAAACAAATCTATCATCTG